GGAGGAGGAGAATAGTAAGAGATGCCCTTTACTCGAGTCAGGCCGATTTTGCCGTTCGGCTGCCCGTTCCCGCCGCGGAACTCCCTGGACGTGCTGCGCCCCGCGCTGCTGCACTGGAAGGTGGGGACCCTCCTCCTGCTCCTCCTCCTCCTCCTCCTCCTCCTGCTGCTTCTCCTTCTCCTTCTCCTCCTCCTCCTCATCATCATCCTCCTGCTCCTCCTCCTGCTCCTTCTTCTCGTCGTCGTCCTCCTCCTCCTCCTCCTCCTCCTCCTCCTCCTCCTCGTCTCCGAGGCGGTCATTTTCCTCCCCCTCCTCGGCCTGCACCTGCCCCCGCCCGCGCCGGAGGCGGAGGAGGAGAGAGGAGGAGGAGGACGAGGAGGAAGAGAACGAGAACGAAGACGAGGACGAGGAATGAGGAGGAGGAGGAGGACGAGGACGAGGCGGAGCTGGAGACTGAGAAGGAGGAAGGCGAGGGCCCTGGGGGCTCTGGTGAGACGGCTGGTACGAGCAGCCCTGGGACGCGGCCCGCGCCCACGCCGACGGAGAGCTGGGCCGAGCGCCGCCGACAGCTCGGGGGCACTCGAACGAAGAGCAGAGGGCAGGGACGCAAAGGTCCCCCTACCATCACGAGTGCGTCCCCGACGACTCGGGGGCATTCGCCGAACCCGACAACTCGGGCCCGACGGGTTGAAATATGCGAGGCGCCCGAGCGCGACCCGCGAACGGCGAGGCACTTCACGGCCGGGAGACCATGGCAAGCATCGACTGGATCTCTTGCTTGGCCTTCGCTCTGTCTGAGCTGAGGTTTGAGTCAAAGTAGAGGGCCCAGCATTACTCCAATCTCGCGAGGAGCTGCTCGGCGGTCAACTCATCGCTATCCTTGGCACCAACAGCAGAGCTGTCGGCGATCACGTCCTGATTGACAGCGGAGGAGGGCAAGGGGGGTACCGATGGCACGTCAAGGATGCCGCTTGTGAAATCCACGTCCTGATTGACAGCGGAGGAGGGCCAGGGGGGTACCGATGGCACATGGCACGTCAAGGATGCCGCTTGTGAAATCCTACTCGTCGTCGGGATCGTGCACGTCAGAGCCCGAGCCACCGCCACCAACGTGGCCGTAGAGAAGCCCTGCGCCCACGGGATTCGGCCCGTGGTCATCCTCGTCGTCTTCCCCGTTGTTCATGCCGTCGCCAAGCGAGTCGAGGTCCCCGAAGACGCTCAGCTCGGCGGCACACTTGTCCTTGAAGTTCTTGAGGTCCTTGGCGTTCCCGTCAGTGGAGACAGCCGCGATCATGAACGACTCGGCGCCTCCACACCATGAACGCATAGCCTGGTCGAACAAGCTCTCCACCACAGCCTCGGGCTGGCTGGACCACCTGTTATTCCTCTTGGCAGGCGCCATCCCCGATGAAGAAGTGGCGGGGTGAGAAGGCAGCACGCTGTCCAGCCTGCGCACGGGCACCGACTGCGCGATGCTCTCCTTCTCCTTTTCCAGCAGGTACCTGACCGCCCTCAGAGTATCCCTCTCGGCCGCCAGCATCATCCGCCCCTCGTTCATCACGAGCTGCTCCTCCGACTCCTCCATGCTGTTGCCCTCCTGATGCATCTTCGGCTTGGGCATCGCCTTCGCCTGGATCGCTCGAGTGCTGCCCCAGGACATGAGGAGCGGCACTTGCATTGCACTTCCAGTAGTGCTCTCGAAACCCGAAGGTCTTGCCTTGCACTTCAGGTCTGGACACCGCCAGATCTTGACCTTCTCCACCTCTGGGGCCGTCTCCGCGCTGGCCTCCGAAGCCGCAGAGCAGGCCTTGGCTGCAGGCTCCGATACGCCCTCCTCTGCGGCTTTCTCGAACTCCTGGCGGTGCTGCAGGATCTGCTCCCGCAGCTTGCCCCCCCCGGTTGGCTCCTGCGCCTCCCTGCGCCAAGGGATCTTCGTGGCCACAGGCTGCGGGGGCTCCGTAATCCAGTGCCCATCCTCCGTCCTCCGCCGACGCGGCGGAGAGGTGGGCACCCTTAGTGGTGGAGATGGGCGGCCCGACGGCACCCACAGCCGCTTCGCCCCCGTCCGAGCCGAAGACCAGCTGGTCGAGCTCATGGGTGAACACGACCTCCAGCTCCGATTGGCCGCCGGCAACATCGGTGCCCACGATGTGTATGGTGCAACCGTTGTGCAGCAAGCAATACGACGTTGCGACATACCATGCATTACATGCGGTACAACATGTGTGGTGCAAGCTGCGTGGTACGATCTGCACAGCGCACAGTATGAAATGCAAGGTGTGCCATGCGATGGTTTGCAACGTATATGGTGCGAGCTGCAGCCTCGCCTGCGCGCACGTCGTGTGCCCAGCCGCGCCGCCGTGCCTGGCCTGCACCGCGGGTGCCTTCCCAGCGGCCGCGCCCCAGGAGGCGCCGGCCGCCTCGCGGGGCCCGCAGGCGCCGCCCGCCGGGCCGTGCCCGGAGCCAGCGCCCTGTGCGGGCGGGTCGGGAGGCTGGTGGATCTTCCTGCTCGGCCTCATCGCGGGCGTGCTCCTCAGCGCGCTGGCCTGCGCCGCCTGGCGTACGGCGGTGGAGGCCGCCCGAGCCCTCGTGGCCCCTCGAGCGCGTCCAGCTGACGCGCCGGCCCTGGCGGACGAGCAGCCCGCCGCCGCCGCCACCCTTGGCGGCCCCTCAGAGGCAACACCTTCGTTGTTGAGGAGACGGCATGGCCCGCACGCTTGACGTGCCCGGACGACAGATCCTGGTGGACTTCTTCGACGACCCCAACGGGTTTCGATGGCATATGAGATTGCTAGTCCTGGCCACGCCCAACCCTGGGCAGTGGATATGTTCGACGCCAGATCTGAGCATTCAGTTCATCGACGTCACTACTCACAGGGTGATCCCTCTCACGCGGGACTCGGAGTTCCCGCGACGGGTCAGGGGCGAGGTCTACGCGTTCGACCCCCTGTCCCCCGAGGAGCTCCAGCAGGTCCGCCGATAGGCCAAGGAGTTGCTGGCCGTCTACGGGCTCACGGGGGCCGCGGACGCGCAGCCCGAGGGTGGGCGGTGGCCGATCGCCGACCCCGCGCATCCAGGCTTCGGCGATGCGCTCCCCGCCGCGGCCCTCGCCGACGCAGACAGCCTCATCATCCGAGGCGACCGTGGCCTCGCCTGTGTGGACGAGGACTGGCCCGACGGCCCGTCGAGAGGGTGCTAGACGAGGACCTAGACAACTGGCGGCTACTCAAGTCGACGGGCGCAGGCCGCGACAGGCGGATCCTCGGCGACGAGCGCGTCAACGGGGTGCCCGTGCTCTCTCTCGCCGCCGCGGCGCGGGCCAGCAGCAAGGCCCTTCGGCCTGGCCGGCCCTTCCGCGGCGACGCCTGCGCCCCGGAGCTGGTCATGGCGCTCGTCGCTGCTGGGATCGTGTTCATCACTCACCACCTGGACTGGATAACGAAGCCGGGGGTCAGCACCACGTCAGGCGTGTGCCCGACGCACCGCCGCATCTGCGAGGGCCTCGACCAGGCTATCTGCTACGACCAGCTCGACTTCGCCAACTGCGCGGTCATCGAGCACCTCGCCCGCTGGCTCTACGAGGTGGAGTCGGCGGTCAGGAGGAACCCGAAGGTGCCGGAGTTCACGAACCTGGACGGCATTTTCGCGGCCCCCATGGCCGAGGATGGGCGGATGCAGCCCCCGACCTCCTCCAAGTGGGTCTCCTCGCCCCGCCGCGACGAGGCTCAGATCATGAAGCAGGGGCGGCTCTGGAGCGAGGAGCACGGCATCGACCACACCAAGCACAAGGGCAATGACGGCAAGGGGCCAGGCCGCGGCGGCGGCAAGGGCCCCAACCCCTCGGCCGAGTAGGGGCCTTCGGCCCCGGGGCGCCCGGGTCAACGGGGCAGGTTCTCTGGCGACGCCTGCTTCGACGCCGCTTGCTGCCCGGGCGCCCCTCTCGTCGCCATCTCCGCGCTGACGCTCCTCGTGGACGTCTCCCTGGTCGATGGAGGCCCCGACGTGAGTTACGGCGCGGACGAGCTTGGCGGTCCGACGATGCGGGAGACGATCCTCGACCTGATCCCGCCAAGGACTACCGCACCATCCAGGGTCACAGTCACGGAGACCCCTTCCCCCTCCCGCTGTCTGGGGAGGTGCTCGCGCGCGGCGGCCATGCTGGGCCTGCATCGCGGTCGCGAGTGCGGTGCGCGCGCGAGGCGATCTGGTCTCTGAACGCCTTCGATGCCCCATCGCGCGCCCTCCGGGCGCATCAGCCTTCCTCGAGCCGTCGCCTCGCGGAGGCGCAGCGCTCGATCATCTCGCGCGTCAGCCGGCGCATCGAGAACTACGGAGAACGGCCCGACATCCTGCCCGCCGCCGCCTACGCCGACCTCATCAAGAGTCACGACCTGTACTCAGGGCAGCCGATGAACCTGAAGCCGCATGACCCCAACCTTCTCAAGGTACTCCATCGCGACCGTCACCCTCAGGAGCTTCGCGGCTGCCTGGGCTCGGAGGGTCGCAGGTGCCTGGACAACGCCGACGAGCTCATCTTCAGGACTGAGGCCGAGCTGGACGCCCTCCAGGAGAGCGAGCTGATCCAGCCCATCACGCCGTACTGGGACCCGATCCTGAAGAACAACCGCCGTGCCAGGATCGACTTCATCAAGCGCCTCGCCTCCATGGGCCTCGTCGGGCTCAGGCTTTCCATCCGCGGTCGCATCGGCGCCTTCTGCGTGGGCAAGAAGGACGGATCCCTCCGCCTCGCCCTGGGCGGGCGTGAGCCAACCTCGCTCCGCAGGAGGCCGCCCCACACCGCCTTGGGATCCGCCGGGGCCCTCGCAGGGCTCGACCTTTCGGACCAGGCCCTGCGGTCCCAGGGCGTCGACCCCCAGGCGGCCGACATCCACGCCGCGGGCCTGGACCTCAAGGATGGGTTCTACCAGTTCGCGAACGACGACCTCGCGGACTGGTTCGGGTTCAACTACCCGGAGGCTGCGTCCGACTTCGGCGACCCGCTGGTGTACATCCCCGCCGACGGCCGCTTCGTCCAGGTGTCGAGCGACACTCGGATCTTCGCGGTCTTTCGGGGTCTACTGATGGGTTGGTCGCGGTCACTGTTCTTTTGCCGGGATCTCTTGGAGGAGGCCAAGTGCAAGGGCCTCCTGAGCTTGGGATGTGAAGACGGCGGCCGCCTGGTGCACGAGAGGTGCCCCGCGCCCTTGCTGGCGCCCGGCCGGCCGCTGTCCCAGCCCTACGTGGACAACGCCAACGTCACCGGCCTCAACCGCGGGGACACCGAGCACGCGCTGCGCGGCATCCAGCACGTCCTGGACTACCTGGGCATAGACTACCACGACCTGGTGGAGCCCACGAAGCTGTGCACCACGGCGGGCGTCGTGCTCGACACGGCCGCGCGCCGCCTCCGCCGCGCGGAGGCTCGTGCCTGGCGCCTCTACCTTGGCCTGGAGCACCTGCTACGTGTGCGTCGTGCATCTGGCCGTGCCCTTCATGTCGTGCACGGCCACCTGGTCAACCACTTCATGATCACGCGGCCAGCGCTCTCGGCGTTGGACGAGGGGTGCCGGTTCATCGCGCAGCACCTGGACGAGCGGGCCTCCCTCGGCCGCCACCTGCTGGACGAGCTCTGGTGAAGGGTCTGCTGCTGCTGGCCGACGTGAACCTCGCCGCCCCCTGGTCGCGCGTTGTCTACTGCAGCGACGCGTCGGGCGGTGAGCTGCGTGGCTGCACAGGCTGGCCTTTCGCCGTCGCGGGGAACGGCGGCTACGCCCTCCACGAGACGGCCTGCGCCGACCACGAGGTCATGCAGGCCTTCAAGTACCGCGAGCGCTGGAAGTTCAAGATGGAGGAGGAGGAGCTGGTCGCGCCGGGGGCCCCGAGCGACGAGATCCGCGGTTGGGCCCCTGAGCCCGCGGCCACCTCCGGCCTGCTCATCGCCGGCCTCCTGGCCCCCGGCTCCAAGCCGTCGGTGATCGACTGGCGCCTCCCCCGCGCGAGGACCGTCATCGTGCAGGGCGCCGTGCCAGCCCTGGACGACGCCCTCCTGGTCCGCAGCCGCTGGAAGATGATCGTGCGGGGCGCCATTCGGTACAGGGCCTCCATCCACGTGAAGGAGGCTCGGACTCAGCTCCTCGGCCTCGTCCGCGCCTCGCGCGACCCCCGCGTGCACGGCCTCCGCGTCGGCAGCCTGGGCGACAACATGGCGGCGCTCCTCAGCTTCGAGAAGGGGCGCGCCCAGGATAAGGCCCTCCTCCAGCTCTGCCAGGTCAGTGCCGCCCGGCAGATCGGGTGCGAGATCCAGTGGAAGCAGCGCTACTGCGAGTCGGGCCGCAACCCGACAGACGCCGACAGCCGTGCTGCTGACCTGGGACGCGTCCTACCTGATCATCCCCAGCGTGGCTGCCCGCGGGCCCTGGCCAGCATCGAGTCTGCCAACGCGGGGCTCGCGGCAGAGCCCCTGGGGCCCCCTGCCCGCGTGCGCCGCCCTGCGCCCTGTGGGCCGGCCGCCGGCCTCGCGCCTGGCGGGGCGGCTGCGCGCCTAGCCAGGGCAGGCGCCCTCGCGCGGCGGAGGCCCCCTCGGGCGGGCGCGGCCCCCGGGCGCCCAGCGCCCCAGCCTCCTCGCGCTGCCCCTCGGGCCCCGCCGCGCGGACAGCCGTGCCAGCGCGCCCGCGGGGGCCGCAGCCGACGCTGGGCATTTTGCGAGCTCTACGCGGGCGCCGGCAGGCTCACGGCAGCCGTCAGGGACATTCGTTTGCAGTGTACTCCACACTTCGAGATTGGAAATGGGAAGCGTTTCGACGTCCATCGTCATTTTGTCTTTCGTACCTTATCACGTTGGGTTCGCGTCAAGAAGCTTTGGTACATTCATTTCGGTACTCCGTGCACCTTCTGGTAACTCGCTACTGGGTCCCATCGGGCCTCTCATCAGCTTCAAGGGCTTCGAGCTGCTCGTGCTACCTTACGGCTCCTGCGGCTATGTCATCAGTACGGCATGCACTGGACTCTGGAGAACCCGGCTGGGTCCAAGCTCTTCAGCTGAGACCCCCTCGGGGACTTCCTGAAGGCCTCAGGTGGCAACTGGGCTCTCCTTCACTACTGCCAGTACGGCTGCGCCTATAAGAAGCTTGCGTACCTCGTGTCGAGCCTCCCAGAGATCACCTCTCTCGAGCGCCTCTGTCCAGGCAGCCACAGCCACGAGATCCTCCAGGGCAAGGTATCTCTCGCATCACCCTCTGGGGCCATCCGCAGCCATTGGAAGGCCAGCCTTGCGGGGGCCTACCCACCTGAGCTTTGCCGCAGATGGGCTCGCCTCCTCGCGGCCTGCGCCCCCCCGCGGTGCGCGCTGTGCTCATGCCGGTGACCCGCTCGGCGACGACTGGGAAGCTGAGCTGGCGGCCAACTTCCCAGGCGGTGGCGTCCAGCTCCAGCGGCCGCAACCCTCCTGCCCTTCGGGGTCGCCGCCCGAGTGGCCCGCCTCGGCGCCGCAGCGGGGCGCCGCCTGGTCCAAGCCTGCCGC